TCTCCCCAGCACACAGTCATACGCATGTTATCCCATACAGGCGTAGGCGCTTTCCACGAGAGATAAGGACCAAGATAGGATGCGCCAAGGCTGAAGAGCACCAAGCAAAATTGCGATTAGCAACGATAGCGCAGCGCTCCTGGTGATTGACGGCGCTAACTACTGCGGAGGCCACATTGTCTCCTCTGTGGTGACTTCTTCAACTGTGTGTTGTGAAATAGAGATAGATGCTAGTAAATGACTATATAGAACATTTGTTCCGTCTTTCCAAGGTAACATCCATTGATGCGCACATCACTTGCAACATGTATAAATTCCAATGTTCATCTCATCGCTCATCGCCTGCGTCCGGAACTCTCTCCAACGGGCGACCCCATGATGCTGGCTAGTGGCAGGTTAAGTTGACGCCAACAGGAGTGTGTTCCTATTTTTAAATCACTCGCTCCCACTAGCGTTGATATGGGGATAGAATACGAAGATTCGAAGAAGCTGAGAACAAGGAGTATTTAAAATCCTTACTACGACCTTTATACCCGACTCCGTTGTTATATGACAATGGCTAGTTAGTTTTCCATTAATTATAAATGTACCACCTAAAATTTCCAAATATAATTGTATAGTTAACTAAAATATATGTCAGTGATTATAAATAATTTTATATGGGGAATGAATTACCTTTTAAAAGGTTCATGTTTATTATCCATAAAGATTCCTATAACTTTTAGTCCTTGAATGATATATTTTGTATGATAACTACTAATATCACACTGACATACAGTCCAGCAACGTCAGGCAACGTCGGGCATCATCGAGCAAACAAAGCTGAACCTGCCAAAATGTCACGCTAACTCACTGCTGTGGAGTGGCTCACCCCGTCGTCGTGCGTGAGCCAGCAAAGCCTCCCTTGCCTCACAGGGATATGCCCAGCGCCCACAGGTGACAGACCACAGCCCTGCTTCAGCCATGAGGCCAAGGCTCCGTAACGGCGTCTTCCTCACCCTGGCGCCCATCACCAAGCGCATTTCAATTTCTTAGCCTGGCCTGTGAATTGCTGGGCCCGTTTTGGGTTTTGGGGCTAGCTGGCCAGTGGTGCTTTGATGTCGCGGGAAACTGTTCGCTGTTTCGGCCTTCGCCCCCGTGTTGCCTAGCCACTGGAGCGGGCCCGTTGTGGATTTAGTTCATTTTGCTTGTTCTCCCAATGGAGAGATTCTTTGAGGACCGATCTGAGGTTTCTGACTGGAAAACCAAGGGCTGCGGAATGGGTGGAGTCCATGGACAGGGGAGACCACCTGGGCATGCTCCTCCTATCTTCTGATATATATGAGCCGAGTGTCCGTAGTTTCTCACCCATGTTTTCATTTTCGTTGCTCCCCTCCTTCCCCCCTTCCCTCCTCTCTCTCTAGGGGTGTGTCCTTTCGTTCGAGAGGATTTCCTTTTTGTTGATCAAAATAATATTCCTTTAGTTTTTTGTCGTCTTTCTTTATATTTCTTGTTGTGTATATTTATGAGGCTCCTTTTCTTCAACAGTACGCGAACAACATACTCTTAAAAGGCAATCCTCGTTTTCAGTGTGAGGATGAGGGCCCTGGGACATATCTTCACGTCCCTCTCTTTATTGGCAGTTGCATCTGTGGGATTTGGCCAACCATCCTCCGATGCACTCACATTAGAGAAACGAGCAGTCGAACCTTGCAAAAAAGTGGCCGACGCATATGACGAACAGTCTGCTGAGGATTCAGAGGGTGCAGCCTCCCTTCTATACGCTCTCCTAGTTGTCCTGTCTGGCTAACCACTTACTGACTGCTGTGCCATTCGTTAAGGACCATTCTTCGTGTCGGCACAGCTCGCACACGACTGCTTGGTTTCCATCCCCATCGATAGAGGTGATGCTCTTCGGCTAGTGGGTGGCCTTACTTCATTCTGGAAATGGCAAAGCACGATAGACTTCCTCAAAGATCCCCCATCCGGCTATCTGCTACCGGCGTCAGACCTGGTTGGTGAGCTGGCAAAGATCCGTAGGAAGGTTTCTAAGGGTAAATACAAGAATGAATACGACTTCCAGAGTGACTTGTCTGCGCTGGCAAGGACTACGCATGATGGACACTTCAACTTACAACTCGATGCTGCAAACGTTTTCCGATTTCGCCGCAGCAGGGCGGGGCCAATTGTCTCGGTCTCGAAAGATGGAAAGAGTCTCCCGAAAATTTATTCTTTCTGTCAGTCAACCCCTATATAACTACATTCAGTTATATTCTCTTCACAATCTTCGACATATATGATACTGATAGGCTAGTCTAGATGATCTCAACATCACCGATCCCAAATTTACTCCGTCTCCAATTGAAGAGATCGACGGCGAAGATGCTACAGAATGGCTGAGAAAATTATCATACGAGGGCTCAAACCAAGACCCAGACGCTCTCTACAATGATCTTTTCTGGTCCATCCCAACGGATGCCAATGGAGGCTATGGCGGTTTCTATGGCCAAATTGGCGTCTACACGGGGCCGTCTATCACCTTCAAATTCGAAAATGGCACTGTCAACAAATATGAGAACAGGGCCTCATTTAGTGCTCCGTTTACTGATGTCGTAGATGGAAAGAGCTTCTACGAGAAATTCTGCAGTTCTAAACTTGGATTTCCATTCAAAAAATCGAGGAGAGATGATATCTGGAAGGATGCCCCGATGAACCCGGAGGTAGCGCCTCGTGCTAGCGAAAACTCGCGACCCTTGTATCCCAATCCTGTTATCGATCAGGCAGGTGGGGATATTGGGGGTTACTTCCTCGATGGCGACCACGGCGATGTCGCTGTTTTGTCTGCCTCTTCCTTCGAAGGTTCTGGTGCTCAAGGAAGTGTTGCTTTCCAGGAGACTATCGAAAAATTTCTGTCTGAATGCAAGAAAGCCGGAAAAAAGAAGTTGATTGTTGACGTTACGGGTAATGGAGGTGGAACGATTCTACTGGGCTATGATATGTTCAAGCAGGTTCGTAGCAATAGTCTGGTGCTTGCGATACGTTCCATGTCAATAAACTCACGTGCCCTTTCTAGCTCATTCCAAATGGTGAAGTAGACGATGCGTTTAATATCCGCGCTCATGAGCAACTTGACATCATTGGAGAAAAGGTCCAAAATATGCTCAACGACGGGAAGGAAACCTCCAGCGACAGAAATGAGAGGGATGGCCTTTATGACCTTGATTCCTATGTTAATCTGGATAATAAGAAGTTCAAAAGCTGGGATGATTTCTATGGCCCGGTTCAGGTGGATGGATTCAAGTTTAGCCATCCAGCACGCTGGGATTTGAACAACGAAGACACTAGCCGACGAGGATCTGGAGGAATCGTCGTAACCGGGTATTTGGGCCGTGCCAACGCGTTCAATGAAGTTTTCAAACTGGATGACATAGTCCTCCTCACGGATGGCACTTGTGGATCTACCTGCGCCCTTTTCGCGAACCTCATGCAGAAGGCTGGTGTTCGAACCATTGCTGTGGGCGGACTTCCCCGTGAGGGACCCATGCAAGCTGTGGGTGGAGTCAAAGGCGCGCAAGTCCTCACCTACCAGCGAATATATGAGACAGCTTCGATGGTCTTCGATCTCTATGCTTCGCCCCAGGAAAAACGCAAATGGGCAGGTACTGATTTGGGTGATATCTATCGAACCGGACAGTATATATTGGCTCGAACTGTTCGAGATGGCGAGGGCGCCCGTATTAATTACCGCAACGCTATTGACCCTAAAGACGAGAAACGGATCCCTCTCCAATTCGTCTACCTGGCCGCTGGTTGCCGCATCTGGCAAACGCGGGATATGGTCTTTGATATAACCAAGTTGTGGATTGCTGCAGCAGATAGAGCGTTCGGTGGAGGAGCATGTATTCCTGGGTCGACTCCGCAACCCTCAAAACACAAAGGCGATGGCCGCCTCTTTCGCCCTTTTTCAACAGGATCTTAAGCTATCAACTTACCGCGTTGATTGGTAACTACCATGACTGGTTTGCCGTCTGTCTCCCCGGTCCTCTGTGTAATATATAGCACCACCTCTTCACGGCCTCTCCACATCTTCTACTCGCCACATCCGGGAGCACTGTCTAGAGATCCTTTTCACTCTCTCATACTCGCTTTGTGAATAATATTTTATTGCTTGAGAACCATAGAAGGTATTTTGCGTATGTATTATAACCCCCTAATGCGCATGTTTTTCATGTTTGTGAATACTTGAGTTTTTCAACTTTTGTTGTTTTTATAATAGCCCCCTGGCCCTCTAATATTAGAATAAAGAAATATTAGAATGTTTCAATTCTTCCTTTTCGCAAGCCTGGACACAGAATAAACAGAATGCAAGTGTATGTATACACGCAAATATAAACTCAATATAGAGAAAGGGACATTCGCTCTCTTGCAGCCTCACCACATCTTGCTTTCTCAACCCAGCCGAGCAACTTCCATGTTTCCTTTAAATCGTAATGTTGTATTTTAAGTGGATGTGCATGTTGCGCAGAGTTTCCCTCCCAGAAAACGAATGAGGGGAATTGAGAGAAGTGAAAATTAACGAAAATCAAAGGTAGGCACAATGCCAGGCCATATACATATATTGGCAACCCTTACCACAATCATGGTGCCTTTTTGTGGCGGAACAGTAGTGGGGATTGCCAATACTTATGGCCCAGTACAGTAAGTATTATATTTTCAATAATTACTTTTTTGGTGGTTATAATCTTTGCGTTCTCCTTCACAAGCACGTCTATTTCTTCTTCGTTGGTGCATATATTCAACCCACTCATCCATATCCCGACAGTCCAGCTGCAGATATTTACATCGATCTCATGTTGGCGAAAGGAAGAATAGGCGAGCGTGATGTTATGGCGTTGAGACTAACAACAACTTTGCTGGCTGTGCATGAGAAGAGAAAAGATGAGGATTGCTTTTCAGGTGTCGTATTGGTTCTTTGCTCTGGTATTCTAGTGTGTCGCCCTCTGATGCGCACCTAATTTACAAAAACAAAGGGCTTGTCTATACAAACTTCGAGGTTCAAGCATTCGGAAATATATCGGTCATGCTCAGGGCCTGTATGAGCGGGGATAATTAAATCCGATAGTGACGTCTCAAACATGATGTAACATTGGACTTCATGCCACACCAAGTTGTACAGTACCACCACGCATTGTCGATTCATTTTATTCTTACAAGCTGACAATACCGGAAGCAAACGTGTCCTTTGTGTCCGCGCAAGAAACACGTCAATATCGTGGAAGCCATTCTGTCGTGCAAGACGAATATCCCGCCAGCTATTGGGAATGATGTCTTTCTTGTGTCTATCCGGGCTTGCGCGTCTCGATTGGGATAGACTGTACAGCTTCTCCCACTACTGACGGAGCTCCAGCTGCCGCAGATACTTTGATTCTAACTACAAGTATGCTTTTATTTCTGTGGACGATGGTTGTGGGCCCGGTGCTCGCTTGGAGTATTGTTTGCTCCCTGCGTCCCTCTCCACAAACAAAACGTTGGAACAAAGCCAACAATGGAGGTTGGCAGTTGAATTCCAATCTATAGCAGTCCAGATTAAGCAGTGTTTAAGCAGATCAAACCAGCTGGAGCTGGGAAGCCAGAAGTTAACTCCGCACGGTTGCGACTTACTTCCTCATACTCAGAGATTGCAACGAGTTGATCGCCATGCAGGCAACCTGTCAGCGCCACTATGTCTTTGAATTATTCTTTTTACTTGACGTAGCTGCAAGACGCAGGATGCAGCCTACCCAAGTTTAAGAGCCCACTTTTGTTGTAGTCCAGCCCTTTGCTATCCCCTTCAGGAATACTCAACAGGTCAAACTTGTCCATCCATTCTTACAGGTGTGCTACAACGGAAGGCCTTTTGTGTGTCCTTTTGGCCTTGGTCATGAAGGGTGGTCCATTTCAAATCTGCAATTTCTCCGTATCCCCAAAAATTTGAGGTTGTTGTATTTCGGAGAATATTGTCCAAAACGCCAAACAAGAATCTTTCCCTGTGGCCGAAAATGTATTTGAAAATGATTTTTCTATATTTCCTATTGAGAGAACTAACTTCAAGCATGGGATGATTCGCATTTGATGGCCGCAACTTTAGGAGCCTTATTCCGCCGTGTGAATTCAGTTGGTTGAGGACTACAATTTGTGGCTAGGGAGGGACACACGGCGCCAACTTTTTATTCGCATTGAACAGCATTCTGCCTTTCCGGCCTGTCATGTCAGTTGGCATCCCAAGCTGTGCAGTGATGATTGACGTGTTTCTCATCTTTTTTCTACCATCAATTTTATGATTACCCCTTTCTTTCGTACTCCACCTATGCGAATGCGAATCGAGGGCTCGGAAACTAATCCGTGCCATATTGTGCGACTCTAGTGTCTGACACGCCTTTTTGAGCTTGTACGCAACATGGATAATCCATGCGGTAACAATAGGCACACCTTGATGATACGGGCCTCTCTTAGACCCTCCTCCACGTTCGTTGCGGGATTCCTCAGGTATGGCATCTGGCAGGTATGATCTCCACCACGACCACCCCGGATCAAAGAGGCCACAACAGCAAGACTTCTAAACCTGGATTACATCTGTCAGAAAAATTGTGCCGTACATGGCCAATGCATAGTATGCAGTAGCATTATCTATATTCGTTTAACGCTGTCATGATACCTGCCAATTGATAGCCTTCATTTGGTTCTTCAAAATTCCTGCTGATGACTGACTAGGCCATCCAACAATACCCCATAGAACTGGGTTGTCAGTTACTGTGGCTGTTGACCCATAGCAATTATCCTTTGCTTTGTGGAACTAATTTTATTCCTGCTGGGATTCACACTCTGCGCCGCGTTTTGCGACAAAAGGATTACTTTACAGTTAATCTCTCATATTTTATAAAGCCCCTGAAGGCCTACCATAATCTCATTTATGTTATTTTGTGTGGTCCTTAATTGCAATGTATTAGGTTTTACCAAATTTGCTAGATTTCAATATCTACGTTACTCATCGCCAACGTACTTCTGATTTTCTCATGATTTAAAGCAGAGAAAAGGAACACACATTTGCCATCAACCTCGTTTCCTTCAGAATGAAATTTGGTTCACTGAACCCCTAGCCTATGAGAGGGGATGGGTTCTAAGCTGTCGTATCGCCAGATTAGGTCGACTGTTACAGCACTTAGGATGTGATAAGGCCAACTTTTCTTAACGATCTTGATCGTTTAAAGTGGGCAGCTAACTTACACAGTTACAACGGATTAACAAGACTATTCCTCCTGCTTATCCTTTTATGCATATGCACGATTCTCCTCTATTCTTCCTTATATCAGTGCTGGGTCAATGGATCAAAGTGAGGGCTTTCACACTAGCCATGACATTTTGGAAAACCGAATGAAGGAATACACTGACCCTTCTATCTCAGGTCTTCATTCCAATGCACCCGATCTCGCTAGGAACTGGAATTTTGAGAGAGTTCAACCACTAGACGAGGAGGACACAATTGAAAGCAAAAGTCAGGATCTGCATAGAGAGAATTACATTCAGCCTCTAAATTACCAGATGCCGCAGAACATGATGTTGGAAATGACGTCGACGCCACTCGAATACACTAATTTTGAGCCGTCAACGCACCTTGAATGTTTTCAGGCCTTGGCGGGTGGTACTGGAGTAGATCTGGACACATCCCATGCTTCTACTCATATTCTGGGCGGGTTAAGCCTAAACGGCGTTTTTGATTTATACAACATCTCTCCTACCTCCTATCCGCTTGCGAACGCCGGGACTCCCCTACCTGGTATATCTCCTTCATCAGAGGGTGGTTGGAACCACGTTGGATATTCCAACGTAGAGTCCGTTGCTCTCACGCAACGTAGCCCTTCGCGCTTTTTGAGCGTGCCTGCATTAGTTGCAAGAGACTTCCCGGCGGTAAATCATAGACACCCTCACTTGCGTGATCCAAAACTTTTGGCCGACCCATTTCAACAATGGAGATTGCAAAAATGGCGCAACCTCCAGAGTAACAAACCTCCGTACGTGGCTCAAAGGTTGCTACAGCTCGATCTCAGAAAGCCTAGAAAGAATCTGCAACCTCAGTCTTGTTCCCTTTATGAACACCAAGGGCAGGCCTTACAGCCTGGTTCCGGATTCCGTGTGTCCGAACCAATGAAAGAGCCAGACCTGGTATCACATCAATACCGAAATTGGATGTCACGTTCGACTATGGGAAACAACTTCAACAGCCCTGGTGTAGGCATCTTACCCAACCTAAAGATATTTCATAACATTGATTTCAATATTAAGGAGAAGCATGACTCAAATTTTCTCCCAGAGACATTCTCCGAAAATGTTGCATACCAATACCCAACTGAGGAACCAACAGGCGACCCCAATGCTATAGATGCTTTAGTAGGTCACCTTGCCCGAACTAAAGACCGAGTACCTGATTTGTTGCTAATGGTACTCACTAGTAGAAATGTGTAACAACCCGACCGAACCCTGAAATCAGTCTTGGAGCCATTGACATGTCCTGCGCCTTTGTCATATGTCAAGTTACAGACCGTGGTTGTCCTATTATATATACTTCTGATGCATTTCGCCGATTGACTGGCTACTCACACGAGGAAACAATCGGACGTGACTGTCGTTTTCTTCAGGAACCAACTGGGGTCATCGGACATGGTTTGAAACGAAGATCCTCTGGTGATAGGGTAATCCGCTACTTGAAACGCAAAGTAAACACTAGATCTGAGGCTCAAGGGTGTCTGGTCAACTACCGAAAAGGAGGACAACCCTTTCTAAATCTCCTTTCCGTAGTCCCTATCCAGTGGCTTTCGGAAGAGTATAACTATTATGTTGGGTTTCAGGTAGATCTGGTAGATTCTCCACAGGTCGTCACCGGGAAAAACTTTGGTAAGTTTTCCCATCCCGATTTCTACATTTGCTGACCCCAAGCTACCAGATGGGTCGTATATAATTGACTACCGAAGAATGGAGCTTTCACCAAATATATACGACCAAGGAGTCTTAACCGGTTCGCAAAATAAACACTTATCCTTCGAATATCCAAATCGTGACATCGTCACTACCGCTAAAGCTAAGCACCTAAGACGTTTCTCTTTTGAAAACCCTTGGGAAAAAGCGCTTCTAGGAAGCTCGGAATTCTTATTCCACATAATATCAGAAACTGGGGTATTTTTATACTTCACACCGTCAGCGTCCACGATTCTGGAATACGAATCTAAAGAACTGAATGGATCAACTCTATCCTCAATCTGTCATCCTAGTGATATAGTTACTGTGATAAGGGAGATTAGGAGCTGTGAGCCAGGTTCAGTCGTGAATCTCCTCTATCGCATTCGAAGAAAGAAAAGCGGCTACACATGGTTCGAAAGTCTGGGTTCGGTATACATTGAGTCTCCGCAAAAAAAGAAATATATAGCTTTTCTCGGAAAACTGCTGGTGGTCTTTGCCATCTCCCGCGATGAGTTAATGAAGAATAGTGGCATGAACGAGGGCGAGATTTTGGCGAAGATCTCACCTTCGGGAATTTTACTTTTTGTTTCGTCCAGCGGAAGCGCTTTTCTGGATAGGCCGTCTGAAGAGTTAGTGGGAGAGAAGGTCCAGAATCTGCTTAGCGGCGAGTCACGAGCAGAATTTGAGAATGCATTGGGCATTGCGCGGAGTGGGAAACAAGTCGCTTGTAAACATGGATTACAGCATCGTCGAGGTCATTTACTACAAGTACAAAGCACCATATACCCAGGTGAAGGACCTGACGCAGCTTTGAAGCCTACATTTCTGATTTTACAGATTCGGCTCCTGAAGTTAGGGAGAACAATATTTGGTTTCCGGGCGAATACGGTCACTGCGAAGACACGAAAGAAGGACTCCAGTGCCCTAATGATTCGCCAGCCAGTCTCACCAGACCTATATTCGCGTCCATCTCCAGATTTAGCCGACCACAGCCGCAGCAATCAAAATAGCATGTCCTCCTCGTCCTCCTCCTTTATTACAAGGCAGCAAACCGCCACGCGACCATTACTTAGGCCGAACCCGACCCATATCGCAACATTCAATACACATTCCTCTGATCCTTCCCGGTTCGGCAACCGGCAGGAACAAGAGTGGGTGGAAAAAGAAATTAGAGAAAGCTGCAACATCTTCGAAGAACTGAACCCGACCCGCGCCACAAACTGGCAGACGGAGCTAGATCATTTGAGAAAACGCAACAGGTTGCTTGTCGAGGAGTTGCATTATTTAACCGCATTGAAAAGGAAGCGAAAGCGGAAAAGGGATGTTGAGATGCCTGAGAAAGACTGCTCGCAGTGCCATACGAAGACAACACCAGAGTGGAGGAGGGGTCCCAGTGGGAGTCGGGATTTGTGTAATAGCTGTGGATTGAGGTGGGCTAAGCAAGTGAGTACATATGTCGTTATATGCCGTTTCGTTGTGTGTCGGTTCTGTCTTGCATGATTTGTACCATAGGCTATCATGCGCATAATGAAGACTAACAGCTAATATTTTCATTTAAGAACAGCCGAATAACCGCATTGCCCCGTAAAACTACCTTCGAGTGACAAACCTGGACAGGACGTAGGAAACTGTCCTCTGAGAGCTCACAGACACGTTTTTTTTTTTTTTTTTCGATACAACTCACGGTGACAACGATGGCTATGGTTAATGAATCGGGGATGGCAGGGGCCTGTTCAATTCTGCTATCTGGTTGTCTAGGCTCTATTTTTAATAATAATGATAAATCTCAATATGTTTTGGGGCGATTATGAGATATGATTAATGTGCAACGATTTGCAAATGGAGGGGATATGGGTCAAAAGGGACCAATATAATATAAATTAAATGATCGAAATGAAGGTAGCTATCTGTTTACCTAGACATCCCACAGCTTCTGTTGTCAACAAACAAAACGGAAATATTCTACGTCTGGACCTGGACGTTGATCCCTTTTTGGGAATACCTGATATGTAAAGGTTACTCGGAGCTGGGGGAGTATACAAGAGTGGCATAGGTCGTATGGACCGTAATTCCCCAAAATGATCACTGATGGTAGGATGGCCAAATCCTCTCAGCTCAGATAAACAATTAGAAGGGTGCGGGAGAGGGATTCCATATGCCAGTCGAGGAATGTATTTGACATGTCAGGACCATTGTCATAGTTTTCTGACGAGTGTTTCAGATCAAGCTGTCCACTGATTTACCTACGGTGTTAGGTAAGATGCTAGCCGGCGTAATCGTGTTGAATTGAGTCGACGAGTAAAAGCAAATAGCCTTTCGCAAGATAGGTATGACTACGCAGCTCCTTGTAGGAATCGATTTTGTCGGAACAGAACCGAAGTTGCATGTTCGCCAGGTTCGGTTTGTTCCACAACATTCTGGGAGATGTCTGTGCAAACCTAGACATGCTTTGCCATATCCAAACAGGAAATACAAGTTTGAACTTGGGAATTGGACAACAGGCAGCTTTTCAGAATGTCAGCTTCTGTACGGAGTACAGTATTCTGTATTACTACATCAACTGGGATTCAGGATGCAGACTTAGCAGCTTGCCTGAGGGTTGTTTGAGAGTATCACCAGTTGAGACTTGGTGGGTTTCGGGGTCCATGCTAACTAAAATGTACGCATTTCAAATAATAAATAAAATAAGAGTCCAAAAAGGGTGGCCGCTCAGAATCTTTCTTGTGATGATTTCCTATCCTTGTTATGATCGCACGATTGCGCTCGTGTCTTTGACTTGCAGTCCAAAATTGTTCGGGAGACAAATATTTCCATCACAGCGTGGTAATCCACAGTAATCGGGTTCTAGAACCTCAAGAGCAGAGTAGAGTACATTTCCAGGGGATGAAATGTTAGAAGCGGTACATCCAATCTGGAGATGAAACTTGGAGGACAGCCCTCCAAGGCTCCTGGGTCATGTCGCGAATTTCCAGAAACGGCAAAGCGCGTCCACATGTGAGGATCTAACTAACTTCCGCAAAGCAAAAAGAAAAGCGCCAACAAAAATCTTTTAAAAACCTGGACCGCATTTTGCTGAGGGGGTGGTGATTATTTATTACTGATGTCAGTCTCTTTGTCTTTTCTAAATATCATGTTTTTATACCCCACAATCCAATTGCGCCTGGGCGGTCAATATGTACACACTTTGAGCTGCTTTTGACTCTTTCGTCTGACGCGCCTCCACGACAGTCTAAGTATTAGCGACCTGGCATACCCTGTGCTGCGCCAATTGGCGTCACCACGCCGCATTGGGTTCCTGCATTGAGCAAACCGATTATCAAACGAGCCATCCGACATATCCTCCCTCGGGAACCTGCGAACATCGCGAATTGCGTGGGTGACGAGACGAAGCGTGGGGGACGCCGTCGTCCGTGTTTGCCATTCACGGATTCAGTTTTGCTCTGATACTGTTCTGCAAATCCATGGCGGAGACGGTGTCCATTACTATCTGTGGCGATGGTGGATGCGGTATGTTCCATACCCTGCCTAACTGAGAAGCTATTAATTTTTAAGTTTTTCACATCCTCGCAATATTTTGACTGAGGGCAAGGATGGATCTCATGATCTTTATCAAAAGTTATACGCTGGGATAGGAAATATGTTACAATGGGTTGGGTGTTGATTGCTAAATGTTGCTTTTGGCTATGGGATGTAGGGAAATCATCTATCACGCTGCGATTGGTACGCAGCCAGTGGACACATGAGTGAGTTTATGTGCACAATTGTTGAATTTATCTAAATATTAAGGATGGCTGCTCATAGTGTTGGAGTAACCTAGATATGATCCTACAATCGGTATGCATCAGTTCCTAATATCTACCTCAATGCCTTCCTCCTTTGACGCCTGGAATTCGACTATTACGTCTACAAGCGCTCTAGGGAAATGAATACGAAAGTCAAAAAATGGTTTCCTAACAACATGCCTATATATGCTAGAGGATTCATATTCCGTTACCCGCACTGTTGACGGTGTTCCATACTTCCTTGCCTTGACGGATACAGCTGGCCAAGAAGAATATCGTGGTCTATGGGCGTCCTCGAATCTCAAGTCTGATGCATTCCTCCTCGTCTACGATATCACAAATGCATCTACACTGGAGGCTTTGGACTACTTCGTGGACATGATCGACATGGAGGCAGAGCAGCGATTGGAAACCAATGCGCGATTGATCAAGGAATTGGGTCCTCTACGTCACCCAGGAGAGCAGGTTGCCGTTGGCATGGCTCCACCGGTAAGGATTGTGGCTGGAAATAAATGCGATTTGAAAGACGCGAGGGTGGTGAGCGCAAGACAGGGGTTGGAATATGCTAGGAGAAAAGGTTGTGGCTTTATGGAAACGAGCGCCAGGGAAATGGTAAATATTGAGGAGACATTTGCTTGTAAGTTCCACGTTTCGAATGTGGCCGGAATTGCATCTTGCATAATTCGGATCAGAAAAGCCAGACTGGGCTTAGTGGTGCATATATCTGTTTCACCCGTACTTTTTATGGTTGTGCTTGGCGAAACTAACTTACTCCCAGTAATCATTCGTCGTGTAGTGGAAGCGCGGCATCTTCATCATCGCCAACAATTCCCCGCCCAACCCCAGACCCCTGGTTATTCATCAATTGAAGCGCATTCTCTACCTCAGAGCTTGTTCTCCCCCGACCTTATTTTAACATCACAGGCTGATTTTCATTCAAGAACTCCAGCCCTCACCGCCAAAGAGAGGGAAATTACGGACAATAATATCAATGATCAAGCAACGGGAAACTCCACACAGAAGCCAAACCAGTGGCAAGGTCTGGGACGAGCAATCTCGAAACGTGTTCGAAAGGTGAAACACCGGGACACCGCAGACCCAGGCCATAAATCACCACCCTCAACTGCTCATCGCGAAAAGAGCATATCTGAAACGACAGAGCTTCCTCGAAACAACCCACCGCAGCCTAGCGGGAAGAGAGAAGATGATGATGGCACTGAAGTTGCAAAAGTCGAAGTCAATGCGAACAAAAGATGCGAACCTGGAGAAAACCAGAGAACTTTGTGGAGATGGCTCTTTTGCCGAAATCGGTGAAACGTTTCTATCCATCCTTACTTCTTATTTATATATATCGAATATCCCCTGTCAGCTCAGCTCCTCAACTTAGGTGTTGCGCAACTTATTTTTGATCCTTCCCATTTCTCTTATTTGTGCATATTTTCCTCCATTATATCTTTTTATTCTTCCCCCTCCCTCCTAACACCGTTCTACCACCGCTATCTATGATATCTTGATCGCAGACAGTATGTTCATGACCCACTGTTTATTTCCTTTGTCTTCACATTTCAGTAAACTCCCCTAATAGCGCTGTTTCGGCTCCACTGGACCTGTCCGCATGCTCCTACTCATGTTGTGATTTTGGAGAATATTCCCTTTGATGCCGGTCTTCTTACTTCTATAAATATTTCCCGTCCATGTCCTGGGGTAGCGAAGACAGACTCGCCATAATTTCATTTGTTACGTGCGTGTTTGATACTCTACATTCTGGTCGATTTTCCCGATCGGCAATTCCGGCCACGCTTACACTTACGCCATTACTTCTACTGGATGCCTTCTGTGGATTTCCTGAAGAGAACGCCCACTTCAGTTCTCAATCATGCGCTTGCCGCGTTGGTGTCCATTTTGCCATGCCAATCGTTCCTCTATTTTTCTTTTTCTTCCAGCCCAGTTACCTTGGTCACTTATGATATGTTTCCGGGATAAAATGTCTCTATTGTTTTGTTTTGGATACCTTACTTCTTCATCTTTGATTTCCGTCACCGGACCTCCTCTCCTTTCTCTTCTTTTTTTTTCTTTTCGTGGCCATTTTTTGACCTTTCTCTCCTGGAGAAAGAACGACATTCGTTCCTTCACCTTTTTGGATGAAAAATAAGACTTTATATAAGCGCGAGCCTTTTCTTTTCTTTATTCACGTGTATGTATTTTAGCTATACTTTTTTTTATTCTTACATTCCTAAAGATAGCGATATATCAATTGACGTGGTCGCACAGAACCAGAATCTTCATTTGCTACCTAACATTCTAACTAAATTAAGGGAGGGGAGGTCTTTTGGCCAAATACAAATCCTGAGAGGAATAGTGATCGATGTGGGACAAAGTACGTCGAAGTACCACTAATTGTCATGCAAATGCCCATCTTTCAAATCTCACACGCGACGATAATGATTGACAATTCCAAAGATATGAAATAGAACTACCATTGACGCGCTAGATGTATGTACTAAGCAATGTAAGGTAATCTAACGCACACCGTTTATTTCTAACCTTATCCCTGAAGCCGTAAACCCAACCTCATCCGCACACTCACTACTACTTCAAAGAGACCTTCAGTGAGAAATCCACAATCCCAACCCCCTGATGAATACTGCTAGTGGACAAAATATCGACATCCTCAGCCGCGAAGGACGCCGCATTGCTTTCGTTGAGGCCACCACTGACCTCGATCAAAAACGAGCCGCGCGGTTTTCCCTTCGCCGTCCATGAGTCCTTCAACAGCTTCGCTGCCTTGCCCACCTCAGCCGCGGAGAAATTATCAAGCATGATGATATTCGCACCAGCATCGATGGCGGCATTCGCTTCCTCGATGTTGCGGCACTCGACTTCGATTTTCATGGAGAAGCCTCCTGCGGCGCGCGCCGCGGCGACGGCGGTGGGGATGGCCTGGGCTATTGTCGCGGTCGAAACGGAGGACGCCGCCTGGCCTTTATTGTAGCAGGCCCAGACATGGTTGTCCTTGAGCATGGTCATGGAGCTGAGGTCGTGGCGATGCGGGTCCGCGCCGCCGACGAGAACGCCATATTTCTCCACGAGCCGGAAGCCCGGGGTGTTTTTGCGGGTTCCGGCGATGATTCCCTTCCAGCCATGGGAGCGGAGGATCTTGACGAGGGTAGATGTCCTTGATGGAATTGATATTGTTGTTTTAGTTTGGGTTCGTTTTGAGGAGGAAAAGTCCATTATGTCATGGCTAAGTGGAAGGGAAGTTTTGGGGGGAAAGGGGGAGGGTTTACTTCGTAGCAATCCCAGAGCATCGGGCCAGGATGTTCAGCGCGACCCGCTCACCCAGGAGGATCTTGCGCATTGGGCCGCGAACGATTGCACATACTGTGATCGGTTCGATCGTTTCCCCCTCTTTGACATTCCACTCAACCCTGATAGACAGATACAGGTTAGATATGGCTTCTCGGGATTGAGTATATACATCGGGTTTGACGGGCGGAAGAGGATAGAGTTAATAAAGAAAAATGGTGGGTGGCTCATACGTGCAACCTAGCTGTGCAAACACTTCATCGAAGAAAGGCACACCAGCTACAACGCCCTAAATGGGTCAAATAAAAATTCCAGTCAGCATTTTTTGCTCGAAAAGGGTCGGGATATGGTAAAAATAGAACATATGCCTCCACTCCTGAAACGTGCGATGATCATCGCCGGCCTTGCTTGGCAGGAGCACAACACAAGAAACCAAAGGTATAACTATCGCAAGTTTCCCAGCTCTTGGGAGTGTATAAGCCAGGAGAAAACAAACCACAGGTAAAACGTCATATATCGATCCCAAAAATATGGAACAACAACGAGAGCAGAGATGCATTTTGCTCCATGGGGCGTTGGGGAACAGGCCAATTCTCAAGTAGAAAAAAGGTCATATCATATCATACATACCTTGCTTTTCCCCAACAGCCTCGCTTCGCCGAGAGCTTCCCCGACGACGAAGCCACCATAGTCGAAGCTGGGGCAATCCTCCTCCAGCCAGGTGGCGATCGTATGCTTGTAGGTCAGCGGCAGGAGGTGAGTGAGGTCTCCGTAGTTTGACGCCATGTTCAAAAGCTGGCGATAGAGCTCGAGTTGCGCGGGGCGCCCGAAAACTGGCCGAGAAAGGATAGGATAAGGTGAAGGAGCTAAGTTAACAGCCTAGCAGTGCTAGTAAGGAAAAGACTTGCGAACGGAAGGTTCTTCCCAGACGGATCGATCGGTATTCGACTGCCAGATGTCAGTGGTTGAACTGGTTGTGTGTAACATATCACTCCTAAGTATGCGCCATGCGTCCCCCATGCACGCCCCCCGGCCAGACCTGGCCAGGCGTGAGGGTTGCGAGGAGGGGGGTTGGCTGGTGGCTGGTGGCGGTGATTTCTTGGGGGCTTCCAGGCTTTTGCTGGGCGTCGGGAGATCCAGGACCCGATTTTCCGACGGTGGCGACGGCTGGCTGAGTAATCAACATCGGTTCATGTCTTCGGTTCCTTGTTCATCATTCATCAATCTGCCAATCTACGACGTAGTTAGTATTCGATCAATATGCCACCAGCTGTGTTTTCCTCGCAGAAAACGAAATCAACTCGGCAACCCAGAAGCTTCTGGATATGCTGCTCTGTCAAACTCTCAGTAAGCCTTTGACCTTGGAAGCAAGAAGTACTAGTAACTTGTATCCATCGTCAGTATTCTCGGTTTCTCACCTGGTGTGCTAGTCCAATCAACGGCGGCTTCGCAAAAATTTTTGCTTTGTTTTTGGAGCATATCAGGGTTTCGGTTTTGATTCCTCTGATAGGTAGCTCCAATGTCGTGTCTTCTTGCAATCATCGTGTTAAGACTTGCAGGGCCTGTGCAGTTCTACCACGACACTTCCCGTCATGGGGTTGTCTGTAGGTGCCAAGCTACGCATCGTAGACTCGATTTCTGCCATCCAGGACCAATCAATCCTGTAAGAAGTGTACCGAAGCTACCCTACAGCGGATTGTCCTGCATGTGCTTGGCGCACCAAAGAATAGATAAGAGTCGATACCTCCAAAGCTACGGAGCTTTGGTATCTCACGGTATGAATGGACAAGGATTCGAAAAGCTCCCTTATAGACAGTGAAACATCAAAGACGTCCGTCGAGACGAGAACTGGTCTGCGGTGCTTGTATCGTCAAGCGAAAGGAGCATCACACGGGAAGCCATTGTCCGTTTTTTTTTTTTTTTCTAGCTTTCTGGACCGACATGCCACCCACTGATTGATCACTCGGGCTGAATGCGATGGCGATCGGACGGATGTGTGAACAACCTGTTGCTGCCAGATTGCCAGATCAGCCAACGTGGGACATACTCTCTGATGTCCTGGGTACAGATCCGTAGTTTAGCACTGGATTGGCTGGTCTCCAAGGAAAGGGGAGCAGCGGAAACGGTGGCATGTTGAGATACCTCAAACTGTAGCACCCCAGCATACCAGGATTCCTCGAACACAACTGTCCTATCTTCACAGCTGGCAGCGTTGGTGCTTTTTTCCCTTCGCAACTCGCCATGCCCAGAATGCTGTTTCTGTTATAAATTAGTAAGATTTGGCAAAAACGGTGAGGTGGGCCGGGCCTGTGTTGATAGATTGAATCGAAGAATGTGGATGAACGGCCTCTGTAATAAGTTGAGCAAGAGAAATAGGCATACGCGGGTTGCACGAGTTCCAATCTGTTTAGCAAAGCAAAGATGTCAAAAGTACATGATGGAGGACGGAAACCACCTTTTTCTCATGTTTGTCCATTTGCAATCGAAGCCGAGACAATGTCACAGTCAAAAAATATGACACCGTTCGGTACATATCATATATTTCAATAACAGCGTACACAATACATACCGTACATACTAGTACATACTAGTACCGTATGTGCGTATTTGCGAAGAAGATATCGTTGCAAAATAAATAAATAGTGCCCGCGCATATAAAGTACTATACGATTGCATAAAACAACCTTGCGATATAGCCCATGCTTTGTTCGGTCAATAAAACTCTCCTGGCCGAGCCCCGACCCCGAATACGACGGGGAGATCGGTCGAACCTGTCATCCTCCTTCCAGCTGCATCGTCGCGTCAGAGAAGCAAGCCCCGTTTGCTTGCGTCTTGCGTGCTATCGGACAAATCTATCCGTCGTCCCTGTTGAGTTAGAAGAAGAGATGCGGGACCCGAGAAGTCAATTCGACGTCGATTATTAATTTCAAGGGGCTGGGCGATAGGAATGCTTCTGCCTGAATAATCCAAGAACACGCTCTCGGCATCTATTATTAGTGTGCCTCTCTCTGGAGAAAACGTGCTTTGGGCTTTGCACCGTCCGAGCTCTCGAGGCCCTGGAGTTCATTCTTATTGGACGCGCTGCGGCGATGACAAGCAGCAGCGCAACACCCCAGCCGTCGTTTGGAGCAGCCGTTTCAAAAAATGCTTGCTTTCACCCCGAGTTTTGGCTTTTCGTGTCGCAGCTTGAGCTTGGCCGCCTGTGGCTGATGTTCACCTGCTTGCGCGGAAAAACTCCTCTACCACCTACGGCAATCACAAGTACGAGGAGTTTTTATTTTACGAATATGTTTGCTCTTCCTCGATTAGGCTTCATCTCTCATACGATAGTTCCAGCTCGTATAACTATATCCTTTTGAAGGAAGAAGTAAAAAAAACATTAACTGTGCCAAGCGCTACTCACTACCATTAGTGAGTGCGCCACAGCGTACGGAAAACCACACCGTACAGAAAATATTATGAATATAGCAATCTTCAAAAATTAATTAATAACCACCACCCTGTCTATCTATAATATAAAGATCATCTATATGCTTGTTAGAAGGTGTAGAATCCACTGTAGATTGAGATTCAGTAGATTTATCTTGTTGTGATTGAGTGGCAGTTGATTTCATAGGCTTGATCCCAATTGCCTGAAGAGTCTTATTGAACTTTTTTTTTTGATTCATCAGCCCTACATGTTGCAATCTTGTGATTCACATTCTTTATAGTGAGAACTCCTTCTACTTGCACCTGCCTGCGGGAGGATTTGACAACCCGATGTCTATTTATGTGGTAATGAGCAGCTAGCTCACCCTTTCAGTGTGTGTTCAATTCCATTTGCTTAGATGTAAGAGTATTCTTCACATTCTTGTAAAGCCTTCTCTGCTGCTTCAATTTGATGATGTAGTTTTGCAATTGTATTTGAGAATATTAATTGTGAAGATGCAGTTGATAGTTGATTTGTAGAAAGTGAAATAAATTGAAAGCATTCATTATCATCACCATCATAGACAATAAGATTTAAGCTGTCATCAAAAGTAAGAGATTTCAATTAATCAAGTATTACATTTTGATTAAGTGTGCTACGCCCTGCCACACGCAGTGCCACGCCTTCGCTCCATCATACGCGTAGTCACATGACTACGCACAGGGCTTCACCTCCTGCTTGTTTCCGCTTGCACAGCATATCTTAGAGTTACGATGATGAAGAATAAGAATAGCATGCCCAAGAGCTTCTTCGTACGGCTTCGCCTTACAAATTGGTAGCATGTCTTGAGAGCTTCGCTCTAGATGTGTCAGCCCTAGCCAGCGAGCTCCGCTCCAGGAACCTGGACCCAGCACGGTCGCCCCGCGTCGCGTTCCAACATCATAGCCCAACAGCAACATCACCTCTACACGCCCCCCCAAAACCCTCTGGACAACCATCAAGGCTCGCCTCTCCAGATAGCTACGGCGGCAAGTTGCGTTCGACATTCACTTTCTCGCCCCCCCTGACTCATCCGCAACCCACCTCAGCAACACAACAAACAACAAACAACAACACATCAACACCACCACCACCTTCCATCACCTTCCGCTACCATCCCACTACCACCTTATACTTATCATCATTGTCCACTACCACTCCCCGCTGCAGCATCTTACTCCTTCTTACACCTCCCCTACCCCCACGACATCACTCCGCCCTCACACGGACGACACCAACGCCACAACCTCATGGACTCACACCGAAGGCGACGATTGAGCTACGTAGTCGACAGGCTAGAAGAACACTTTGGCGCGATGGCAAGCGACAGCAACCCCCAGCAACAAATCACTGACACCACTTCCACCACTCCGCTGAAGCAGCCTAGTTCCAGCCAGAAGCAGCGCACCCGTGCCAAGCAGCTACTCAAATATAGCTGGACCGAAGTATCCCAACGTCAGGGGAAGCAATGGATGGACGGCTGGGTCCAGATAAAGCCTGAAGAATATGTGCACTTCACAGAACCAACCATCAATCCGGCACAAGCCCTAACCGGGCCCTAGATGATTTGTAAGCTGCCGCTCACCTGCAACCTCTGGTCGGCCCCTCGTTCCGAGGGTCCGCCATCTCAACGTTATCCGCCATCTCAACGTTACTGCCCACTTATACCCATGATATTCAGTTGATTTATCAACCAATGAATCTATATTTGATAGATACAAATAGATTATGTTGTAAATGAACTATTGCCGTGAATTCCTTGTAAATTTGGTGGCATTAACATAAATGCCTTTGTCTCTGCAATATCTCTTAAGTTCCTTCATAACCTTCTTCCATTTTGGCCGTAACTTCTCCAATGCCTCCTCAATACCAATCTGATGATGAATAGCTGTCATTTTGCGAATATTATCTGCAGAGATGACTCCTCCTTTATGAACTACCCTCCGTGAGCCTCCTTTATAGAGAGCGTTTGCGAGCAGCCGAGGCGGCAGTTGTCTGCGAGAGCTCCTCCTGCAAAAGAGCCACTGTATTGGCCATTGCAATACTACCCTTATAAAGCTTCTGTAATCCTTCATATATATAGTCCTCATCATAGTTATCTTCATCTTCCTCTTCCAAAGCCTCGAGTTTGCGTTTATATCGGTTGAATTGGCGTACAGTTGAAGGAGTATACCAAGTATCTGAATCCATGGAATCTGAATTTGAAGATTCTGAAGGAGTAGTCTCGAATTCACGCAATTTATTAAGGACAATTGAAGGATTGAATGGAAGTAGGCCAGTTGCTTCCCATCCATGTTTGATTGTATGAACTCTGAATGTTGCTTTTCGTATGGAGGTGATAGCATGAAGAAATTCAACCTTTGTGAACTTCTCACAGCCGCGTCTTGTTGCTTCTTCAACTGCCACTGAATGATGATGCTTAAAGGCTTGAAAAACACCAACATCCAGAGGTTGTAATAGGTGACTCGTATGCGGGATGAGATAGAAGGGAATGATGTTGTTCTTTTCACAAAAATCCATGAATTCAAAGGTGCAATGGGAGTCAAATCCATCTAATAGAAGCAGACGGTGGGTTCCTTTGGTGCGAGCTTTTGTAGACCGATGGAAATGCTGAATCCACTGAAAAGAGATTTGATCATTATTATACCCAGTGTCGGATGTAGCTATCATGGCATCCTTCTCTATTTCATCTGTCCACCGCTCCTGTAGCTGCTTCGCGGTGAGAATATATAAGGGAGGAATGGTAAAGCCATCAGTTGCAACTCCTTCAATGATAGTAAGACTTTCTCTATTATTTGAACTTCCAACATAGGCCCGTCTTCGAGGATCTCGCGTTACAATCCATTGATCATGTCCAATTCCTATTCTGAACCCTGTTTCATCGAAGTTGTAGATATCGCAATCTTGAATTCCATATTTATTGACTGTTTCTTTGAACCGGTTAAACCAATCAAGGATATGAGATGGTTGATGAGCCTGTTTCCGTAATATATCAATGGTCTTCTGCTTGCGTACATTATACTCTGGATGGCGTTTGAGAAATCTTTTGACCCAGTGCTCTCCAAGCCCAGGTGCAGGTGTGGTAGAATCTGTATGGCTCTGCGCAAGTAGGAATCGAGCAGCACCAAAGATCATCGATCGATTGGGAGGTAGGCATAGCTTATCTAGAGCTTCTATATACTGACAAAATGATTTTTCCTGCTCAAAAGATAAAAGTCGATTAGCAGGAGGTCGATGAGTTCGCGGAGCACGGCCATTGTATCGATTGAGCAGACGGGAATAGGGAAGGTTATAATCTCTTGCCAATGCTTTGATATTGGGTTTTTCAATATCGGCTATGGAATCTAGAGCCTCTGTGATCTTATTCTCTATTAAAATATATGTAGAAGTCATCACATTGGTTGATTATTGCATTTTGAAAAAAGAGATTCGCGTATTTGAAAATAATCGCGTTGAGATGGCGGATAACGTTGAGATGGCGGACCCTCGGAACGAGGGGCCGACCAGAGGTTGCAGGTGAGCGGCAGCTTACAAATCATCTAGGGCCCGGTTAGGGCTTGTGCCGGATTGATGGTTGGTTCTGTGAAGTGCACATATTCTTCAGGCTTTATCTGGACCCAGCCGTCCATCCATTGCTTCCCCTGACGTTGGGATACTTCGGTCCAGCTATATTTGAGTAGCTGCTTGGCACGGGTGCGCTGCTTCTGGCTGGAACTAGGCTGCTTCAGCGGAGTGGTGGAAGTGGTGTCAGTGATTTGTTGCTGGGGGTTGCTGTCGCTTGCCATCGCGCCAAAGTGTTCTTCTAGCCTGTCGACTACGTAGCTCAATCGTCGCCTTCGGTGTGAGTCCATGAGGTTGTGGCGTTGGTGTCGTCCGTGTGAGGGCGGAGTGATGTCGTGGGGGTAGGGGAGGTGTAAGAAGGAGTAAGATGCTGCAGCGGGGAGTGGTAGTGGACAATGATGATAAGTATAAGGTGGTAGTGGGATGGTAGCGGAAGGTGATGGAAGGTGGTGGTGGTGTTGATGTGTTGTTGTTTGTTGTTTGTTGTGTTGCTGAGGTGGGTTGCGGATGAGTCAGGGGGGGCGAGAAAGTGAATGTCGAACGCAACTTGCCGCCGTAGCTATCTGGAGAGGCGAGCCTTGATGGTTGTCCAGAGGGTTTTGGGGGGGCGTGTAGAGGTGATGTTGCTGTTGGGCTATGATGTTGGAACGCGACGCGGGGCGACCGTGCTGGGTCCAGGTTCCTGGAGCGGAGCTCGCTGGCTAGGGCTGACACATCTAGAGCGAAGCTCTCAAGACATGCTACCAATTTGTAAGGCGAAGCCGTACGAAGAAGCTCTTGGGCATGCTATTCTTATTCTTCATCATCGTAACTCTAAGATATGCTGTGCAAGCGGAAACAAGCAGGAGGTGAAGCCCTGTGCGTAGTCATGTGACTACGCGTATGATGGAGCGAAGGCGTGGCACTGCGTGTGGCAGGGCGTAGCAAAGTGGGTAGATTCTACAGTTTGTAAAGCCAGCTCTAACTGTGGCAGGTTTGAACACTTGCAGTCATATGCTCTTCAGATTGATAAGGAATTACCTCTCATCATATTGCTCATATCTATAGCAAACAGTCTTATTAACTGTCTTTGTATGATAATGCTTATACTGTTGGAAAGGCACGTCATCAAGAGGTTGTAGAATATAATTTATATAAAATGAAAACTCAAATACAATGATTTTGTGAAGATTGCAATAATGAAAGAATTTATCTGTAAGATGAGATTCATAATTGTTAAGAAATAATAATCAATGACTACTCATTTGATGTTTTTTTATAATCTCATTAAACTGTTTGAGCCATTTAAATGTGATCTCATCATTAATGAAACCAGTGTCAGATGTGATTATAGTATAATTATCTGATAAATTTGACTGTGTATATCAATTTTTTAAATGAATCTTTAATTTCATTATAATTAATGAATTCAATACTGTGCTATCTGCATTGACATACTCCACCACTGTTATTAACCTGTCAGAATATAAAGATTGTATGACAGAATTTATGTCTTGAAAAACAGTTATAACCCATTGTTTATGTTCTTTTTTTTTAAAAAATTTAATTTCATTAAAGTTGTAGATATCACATCTGAAGAAATGATATTGATTGAAAACAGATTTATATTAATTGAATCAGTTGATGATGAAGTTTATATTTTTATTAAACATTTGTTTTGAATTTATTGACTTCAGCTTCACTTTTTTATAGTTATTTGATAGATGTTTGACAAATTGATATACTCACATCTTGCTCATAATGAGAAAAGGAGATTCAAAATCTGTATGATGCTGCTTGAGCATCTGATTCACAGCAGCTTCAATATACTCAATTGTGTATAAGCAAAAATTAACATTCATCTGATGAATCCACATCTTAATAGCCTCCTCCTGGCTGTCATTCAACGCTCAATTGAGTGGAACCCTCATAGTCTTCGATTTCTTGCCATTAAGCCTTCCATACAAGGTTGCATATAGAACTTTGAATTCTCGTGACAGGGATGTGATTTTTAATGTTGGATGCTTTCTAAAAGTGTCAATGGCATTTTGCAATTGCTCTTCAGTGTGATTGGAAGATTTAGGCATGATGGTGATGATTAATGAATATTTAAAAATGAATATTGATGATATTCATAATATTTTCTGTACGCTGTGGTTTTCCGTACGCTGTGGCGCACTCACTAATGGTAGTGAGCAGCGCTTGGCACAGTTACTGCCTAAGTTTGATTTACGCAAAGCCAATGTCGGAGGCTTATATCTCTCTCAGAGGTTAGCAGGCGCCAAGTGTCGTCCCACGGCTGCACCGAGGAACAGTGGTGACCTGAGAGCAGGCCAAGACTCTTTCATCAGAGAGCAGGAGAAGCTGAGATTGACGGCGTGGAAAGTCGTTAAATTCGAAGCGAAGGTTTACCTGGTCTGGCTGCGAGAGCGACTGTGTTCTCGAACACCATGAGGTAGCTATGCCAAAAGGCAAAACAACGATATTCATTGCCATGAGTTATGTGGTTTGGTCCACTGTGATGTATGTATTTTATATCTATATGTCTTTGGTGGAGGTAGGTTGAAGATGGCATGAATAAAACTTCCCTTTCTCCCAAGGGCTTGTTGGAACATCTAAAAAAAATATTTAACTATTGACAAACAAAACCGTTTGAATATTTTTTTATTGCTTGCTAAACTTATTCCATTATACCACTATCCAATGCGTATGTCAAAACTAAGGTAGTCATTATAACCATAAAGTCTATGGTATGGTTCTGTTTTCCTATCTGCAAACCTTGCTATAAACCGGCACAACCCCTTCATCCCAGTAATTAACGACGCCCAATAAATATAAAGAAAAACGCCGTATCTACACATCACCGGCCAGAAAGAAAAAACTTGAAATACATTACACTGTCCAATGCCGGTAATTCTGAATTAAAAAGAAATATAACCAAGGAAAAGCAGAAAACGGGTAACCCGCTGCATTTTTTCTTTTCTTTTTGTTTTTTTTTTTTTTTTTTTTTTTTTTTTTTTTTTCATCTTGATGGTGACCTGCTCGCGTGCCTCGGGCTCCGGCTGTCCGGCTTGCTGTTGCTGCGGCCAGTCAAATCCATTTTTATGGCTAATAGAATATGTGCAGCGCACCGTTCACACACGTAATTTGTCTCGATTGGTTCCTTTTTGATCAATGGACAAAACTGTTTCAATCCGCAGGTTCTTGTCCGGGCGAATACTGAGTGGCCGCAGGAATGGAGGTTGTAATACTGGGAGCAAATGGTTTTTCAGACCGTTGTCCTTGATTGATCCCCCTTGTTATCCAGTGCAATGCGATGCCAATGGAATATTATGTTTTGGGGGGCTTCTTCCAGGAGAGTTTTGAGGAAAGTTTGATGTTCGATATCAAGAATAGAGCATGGAAAATATGCAGGATACCGTTGCGATATAAGCTAACGGCCAACATGTGAGGGAATGGTATTGTTGGACTAGATGAGAGAGCCAGGTTTCTGAATACACATATAGAGGAACAAGACAGTGGTGATGTTAATATCCAAGCGACTCTGAGATGAATACAGTGCAGCTCACTAATAATAAATCAAATATGCCAATAACTGTCAGTATCATATTGGTTGTTTTAAAATAGAACTCTTGTCATGCTCTTCTTTCTTCAATGAGTTTGTTCAGAAACCAAGGCAAAGCAGCAGTGAAAATTGTTGAATGCTTCTGTGTAATGGTTCTTCATGAATGCAAATGGAGGCTCGTATATCATTGAAAGAAAGGAGGTGAGATTGAATGAATATGTTGATAAAGAGTGCTAAGGAGACAATGAAGTATTTAAAGTTCCAGTGACCTTTTATATATATAAGAACAAAGCAGGGCGGGATGTGGAAGGGATTGAAATCGCCCCTCTAAATCAGCAGTCAACGGAACAGATAAAAGAAAAGTGTTCTTTAGAAATTGACATAATGGGAAATATCAAGATGAGGACATTTCATTTCTTTGCCTGCTTGAGCTGCAATATCCTAATTTGATGTCGGTCAATGTGACAAAAATAATCATTGCCAAAGAGGTCAATGCAGTTCATGAAATATGGAATGCAAGAGAGTGTTGAAAGTGCAATATCAATGATATTGTCACATATCAGTATGTATTCACTCTTATTGAAGAATTCACCAATTAAGGATACAAGAAAAATACCAGTATGAAATGCGATTACACACAGGTCCTCCTTTCACCTTTCTTTTGTTCTTCCGAACTGCAGCTAATTGCAGCGAAAAACAACAACAAGCCCCAAAAAAGATGCTTCCAGATCATCAGGGGGAACAAGTTACTCCATTAAAGAAACCTGGCTTATTCTGCAATCTGCCAATAATGCATGGAAGGTAGACTTTTCTCAGTAAGTCGCTGGAATCGGAACGGAAAAATGATTTACCTTCCTCCGTCAAGGTCATCTTCATTTTGGAGATGGTGAGACCAAAAGTTGACGACCCCCTCCGCAAGCTCTCAACGTGACTTATTTGCAACCACACTATAGGTAAATATGTATGTGTTATGAATAGCTAGTTTACATTAGCTGAGAGCATCAAATGCTGGATGATGAACGATGCACGGCGGTGTATTTTATATCGGGCCGTGTTCCACAAACTTTGCATTTAAATCACAGCGGGTCAGGTAATGGGTTTTACATGTTGCGGGGCTGCCAGTTAAGTTGCCTTGGGACATAATTTTTTTGTAAATCTGGAGAGACGGTTTCGGATTGGCAGGCTCTTTTTCAAATGTCTAGAAATGCAGAAGATATTGACGCTGTGCATTGGGCATTCAAGCAGCATGATCGTACTGCAGATAAAACAGTATCATCTCCTTAGATTCTAATTGGCAAAGGACTGAAAGGAACTATGTTTACTTTCTCATAGGTTATGAAAAGGCGTTCGTGCGGGGGCTCGGGATAGCAACCTCATTGAGAGTGGCTATAAAAGCCCTACTTAGAAAAGTAACCAGCATGAAGAGCTGCAAAGCTCTAGTGAAGTCGAGGTGACACGGAGCATAAGAATTTACACAGTGTCTTTTATCTCAACTTTAATTTCTTTCACGACGAACCTAGAGGGGTACCGCCTTTTTCTCTTACTCCTTCCATGCCTTGTACACAATCTTGGACCCCCAAATTTGACCCTTCCTCAAGACGCTCATACCCCTCCAATTGGGCTCGTTCGGAGCGTTGATATATCGGCTAGGTTCCACGCAGAAGCCTGATCGTGGTCCCCGTGCTGGCGCGCCGCCAACTGACGGGATGTTAATGAACTTTCCGGTGTAGAATTGGAAGGCGGGTTCCGTGGAATGGACTTCGAGGTGAATTCCTGTGACCAGATGTCTGAGTGCTGCGTTCAGGCGCAGCGGTCGAGATCGAGTGTCGGCTGGTATTGAGGCCGGATCCGTATCCACCACAAAACAGTCGTCAATGTCTGGAGAAGTTGCGCCGAGGAAGAAGGGTTTATTAACCTGTGTAGAAGTGTAACGCTCTATTGTGCTGATAGGGATGCCTGTGGAATCTGTCGGGAGATAATTGTCCGTAGCTAAAACTGCTTCTGTTCCTTCAATCGTAGGCCCATCGCCTAAGTTAAAGTAACTGCGAAAAATGGCTCGTATTAGTATGTGCTCTCTTTCGCAAAATGGAGTGATTACTTTGATTTTAAAATTGCACTGGAGGAAAGCGATACATATGCTTTTCAGCTGTATTATAAGAAAACTCGCCCACTCACCTATGATTCGTAACTCCCACTACAGTTTCTTCACATTCATCGCCTACAAACTCGACTTCGTACTCAATCTCTAGGACGGTTTTGGAAGGTTCCCCTTCCTTCCCTACCTCCTTGCCGGCTGTATACCATACTCTCAGTTCCACCGTACCCGGATAGCCCTCGTCACCATCCTTGCTTAGATACTTGAATTCCAACCCTTCCTTTCCGTTTCTAAATACAGCGTTGGGGCCGTCGAAGACCTTGGAGTTCCACCCCTCCTTCCCACCGTGCAATGAATGAGGCTCCTGGTTTGTTGTAATGGAGTATGTCTTCCCATTGAGATTTTCAATGACTGAATCTTTCAGCCGGTTTGTAGTGCGGCCGATAGTTGAGCCGAAATATGAGGTGTTGTACTTGGCATAATCCTCTTGGGCATCGAAGCCAAGGACGATGTTCTGGCCGGCAACACGAAATTCCTGAAGAATGCCACCTAGTGCGATGAAGGTGAATGCGGATTCGTCCAAAGAGGATGCCATCTTTAATAGATTTTATTTTGATGAGTGGCTGAGTAGGCGGATAACTTAAAATAACTTAAAAAGAGTTGGGGGTGAGAGGGGATGATTTGTTGACATGACGTAGTTGAAGTTACCCCGCGGGAAGGAGGAGTTGGGAATAAGTTTTCATAGATTGCCGGATATGATGTCGACAGCCTCCTACGAAGTATCAAAGAGTTTAATATATCCATTCAACACAACTAGTTACAGCTTAAAAGCTGCTAGTATTTTGCCCCACCAAACTTTAAATATGCGCCAGCGCGTAACTTCGCAGAGCCTGCGAGATTATCAAGTAACCACGCAGAATGTTTTTCATCCAAGCTGCATCTGGCAAATAGTGCTTAAGGGCTGCCCTGAGCGTGACGATTCCTCAATTACTCAAAGCCACTATAAACAACCACAAAATCTAAAACATCTTGATGATTTCAGGCTTTTTTTATGTCAGAGAGGCGCTGGCAGGAAGATTGAATTAGGGCTTTTCATTCACGTGTTTTAGTTAACCTCTCTTGGCATCAGCGCATTGCTAAGTAACTGCGTCAAAATGAGGGATTGGATCAAGTTTGAAATTTGACATATTTCCAACGTTTTCCCTGTTGGGGCTTTGAGCTTCACGCTAATCTTTTCATTTAACATTTTCAAGTCATATATTGTGTGCACTTCTTCACTGTTAACAGTGAAATGGTTCCATAAAGTACAGGATCTGGAGAGGAATACTACAAGTATAGTAGCTAATTGTCATATTACGCTGCGTAAAGGTTCGCAAGTTTGGTCCAGCACCAGGGGTACCAACAGGCTACAGAATTTCGAAATTGACCACTGTATCGCTACGTCCCGCGTACGGGATCCGGAGACTTATTAAAATCAATGCCCAGAGTGATAAACTAAGGGTCTTTTTGTAATGGGGAAGATCTTTTAATTTTTAAAAAAAGTTCTATGAGTGTTTTTTTTTTTTAAAAAAAAATTTAAACAAAATTATGTCGAATTATCTGGATCCGCTTGGCGAAACATGCATCATGAAGGGTGCTACTTGAAGGTGAAGTTCAGAATTTCAGAAGGCGTTGACTGGCCTATTTGCACTAGTAAATGCACATTAGAGGGAAGAGTGAAAAGGGAGCAGAGAGTAGGCCAAAAATCCGTAGCTTAGAAATGATACCGATATATAATACTTACCACTATATAAGTAGGGAAGTTAGCTGGGAGCTTATTGTTATCATTGCCTTCGCCTAGCTATTTACTTATGAGAACGTTCAGTGCATCAGCACAACGATTACCAATTATGTATTATACCTATATTATATAGGATTCAAAAAAAAAAAAAAAAAAGGAAACGCATACATTTCAACGACCCTCAAGCGAGAAAACTCACTATATACAAACGCCAAAGCAGAAGTAAAAGGATTGCATTCACGTGCAAATCAAGGCAGCGAAAATTGTATTCAGCACAAGAACTTTTTTTTTTTTTTTTCAAACAAGCAATTTCAAATCATGTGGAGACACAGGAGCTGGAACTGGAAGTGACAGGTATGTCAATCTTGATTATAATTTATTCGTTTGATACCCCGTAGTGTGGGATCGGTTTGAATGGATAGAGTTACATATCTATCTCCATCTCTGTGTCTCCTATGCTAATGCAGAGAAGAGTTTGCGAAGAATGACAGCCAGTGTTTTCTTGTTTGTTGAGAACTCGATATGGAGGACGAAAAGAATGTCAGAACACCTTCTCTCTTGTAGGGCCTTCATTCGTATTTCGGGTTTTGCGGTGATTGTGGCGTATGGGAAAAGTTAATGTGTTCGGGAATTGGAAGCACGTATGTAAAGAGACAAAAATGAACACAGAAGAACCGTTAAAATATCAATGGAATTTGTCATTTGCCATTAGCATGAGATGAGATGTCGTGTATGTAAGGGAGTGGGAGAAAAGCGAGAAAGGAGAAATTAGTCTAATTGGGCAGATTTCAAAAAAGTTGAAATTAATAAGGGTTATCAAGTGCCAAAAAAAAGAAAGAAAGAAAGAAAGAAAGAAAAAAAATGCGGAGCGAGGACAGATAAAGGAAAGAAAAACTCGAAACGAATTATGCATTATTCATGTAATTTTTAGCTTATCGTTCCGGCTTATATCATTGCAACAGTTGGATTTAAAAATTCTTTGAAGTCAGCGTCCTCAACCCAGTCTGGTTGTATGGGCAGACATGAATTAAGGCCCCCGGTGAGAGAAATCGGTCGACAATACGCCTGGGTTTGTGGTGCCGAGTCAAAGGATATAAGAGGCGAATCGACAGTGAGATCCATGTTTTCATCCAAAACGCCCCCTTGAGGCCACGCTTGCTGTCGCTGGAGGAGGCTAGGATTCATAGATGGTTGAGACCCGGGGGCATTGAAAAACATCTGGACTTGAGATTGGCTAGCTTGGGCCTGCGCAAGCTTTTGTTGGGTGCTGGATGGTTTCTGGAGCTGCTTTTGCCGCTGATCATTCATTTGCTGCTTTTGGTAAAGTTGATGCCGTTGATGCCGCAGAACTTGCTGGCGGTGTTGTTGGAGATTGTCCTTATTTTGTTCCTGCTGCCGCTGGTGATGTAGCAAGAACTGGTGTTGGTGTTGCTGCTGTTGAACCATACCTTCTAGTATATGTTCGGGCATCTGCTGTGTTCGGGAAGGGAAAGTATGTGGGCTGGGAGGGGTAGGTGGAAGCTGATTTGGATTTATTGAAAACGGGGGGTCGAACAAGGACTGCCTCGAGGGAAATGTTGGCGAATGCTCACTTTCCGAGCCATCTGAGGAATCCTGGCGCTGCATGAATCCGGCACCATTCGCAATCAATTTCTTCTGCGCCAATTGTAGATCATCTTCGAATGGCTCGTCACTTGAGTGACCCTCCTGCTTAAGCGCTCCTAATCGTTCTAGAATGTCGTGCGTAAGGGGATGTCCGTTTGCAGACTCCTTGAGCGGATCGCCTGGCCACCCTTCCCCGTCGAGAGTCATCTTATAGAGCGCTTGGAGGCCAGTAACCAGCTGTGCCTGTTGTTGCTCTAACATTTCAACATATCTTTACAAAAAGAAGTATTACTTAGCAATGCCCTATCTAAACGTTTCCTGACAAACCGAACGAATACCTGGACGACCAAAATCGCAAGAAGTACTAGTAATGTTGGGAAAACGGAAAACCAAACTCACCCTTTAGGATATACTTTATCGTGGGCCTTTTTCCGCTCACCAAATACACAGATCGCATTATCCGTCTTACATCGTCCGCATGGATTTGCTCCATCACACTGTAAAGATAATCCCTATGTAAACACGTGATCGCGACAGAATGGCATCCACTCTCCCAGAACAAGAACTAGTAGAAGTTCATACCTTCGACTTCTTCAATCGACACCGATCACAGGCCTTGCACACTCTTTTGCGGGCATTGCCTTCTGATGGGGATAAAGCGTCCAGAGGAGGGCTTGGCTGGTGAACCGTCATTTTGTGATTGAAGGGGCTGCACACTGTACGGGTGGTGATATTACATCAGAGCGCAGAGTTGCTGAACTAGTAGATATCTCAATTTCGTACCGCCACTGGGACCAATCTATAGCACAGCACAGCTCTATGATCTTGCGTTTGTGTGGAACACCTGGTGGCGAAGAAAGGATACTACCGGCTGGGTGTCCGAAACAGTGTGCTAATTTTGGATCTCCAAGCTAATAACTACTTGAACTGACGGTCGTCAAACGAAGAGCTGTACTCATATAGGATCGACGGTAACTGTGGGTGTATGTGTATCTGCGTTCTGTGGGGAACGACGACGAAGAGAAGGGGGATGTTCCAATCCGATAATAACAACTTGCACGAGCAGTTACTTATGAGTGTTGTCCGGAGGGGGGTGTCGAAGGGGACGGGAGGAGGATCTAGAAGTGTTTGCAAGCAAAGAGAAATAAATACGACAGAGGGAGAGCAAGAAGCAATTCAGGTGTTCTTTTTCCGAACTCGAGGGAGATCGGGGCTTTACATATTGATTATATCACCACGGACTTAAGCTCCCCACCAAGAACTATAGGAGCTCCATGAGATTGAAATGGAACCCAGCTCAGCCTCTGCAACCGTGGAACCGTGGCCAAGACCGACTCGATTTAGGTTGACACGATGTGGGTACGGGAAAAGGTTTGTTATTTTTACCTTTCCATTGCCGCCATTTTTGCAATCTAGTCCTTTTTCTTTTTTTGCAAAACCGCAACGGTATTTTATTATTTCACTGTTTGCCCTGTGCGTTTGGAACGAGTTACTGTGGGAACTCCGCCGTTCATTCCCACCAGCATGCATCGATTTTGGATTCATGGACTTGGGAACTTCTAGAAATCATACTCGGGCGAAGTCAGGAATTGGCCACAATGCATTTCCTGGTTGTTGGCAGCAATGAAGCTTTGCGTTTTGTCACATTGATTGTTGCTGACGGAGGGTGACTAATCAGGCAGCTCCAACCGCACCATCATCCATCCAACTGGGAACTCGAACAAAAGCTGCGTAATATGGGATACGAAGCCGAGTATCTACGAGACTAGTATTGTAAAGGGTGGTTTCAATTACAGACAATACGAAGACGCCTAGTCGGGGCCTTGGGAAACAATGACAGGAGCTTGAACGCAGATGAAGCTGCAATTACAGCAAGGCGTGAAGAATTAAGCAGTTGCCCTGACGTGGTAATTCACAGCTGCACTGACGCTCATCTTCTTTACCTCGATTAGCCGGCAAGCGGTCGAGAATCGACAGGTGCCAGCCTCGGCTTTGTCATGCGAGGTTCAAATTACGATGCCATTCCACACATCCATACGGTACCGGGATTCTGGGCTCCGTCTCCCGCTTTGCAGGTTGTGAAAAATACAACGGGGACAAAAGAAAATTGCGGCCGTTGTTGGTTTCCTCGTCGAGCTCAAGATCCGCTCCGACCATGCGTATAATGACCGACGGATATTCGGGTCGCGGCACGGAAACAAGAGCAGCAAATATTTCTCAGTCTGGCGCCGGGGATAGTTCCATTTTCCGTTCTTTCTTTTCCCCTCGATCTGCATAACCACGCGACTCTCCGCTTCAACGACCAGCTCGGGGACGCAAAGCAGAAGAAAAATAGAAAAAATAGAAATTTTAAAATATGATAAAAATTCTATCAAAACTATAATCATTACGATTACGATTCGGATAAACGACAAGACCCAATTTGACCTGACCGCTAGAGGAGCCCTTTTTCAACATTTTCATTAAATCCGGGACAAAAACTCACTCACGAGCTGTGGAAAAGAATCCGACCACTGGACTTGTTTTGACTCATCATGCACTCTATTATTCAGTCTGCTGCAGGAGGGGGCTGAAGTGGCCAAATGCCGCTTACCA